AGAAAGCAACCTGGGAGATAGGTAACTTTTGCACTCTGGATTCCAGAACACCTTTATCTGCTAATACGGGTCGCTATTCTTGTGGGACTTTATGTACTCTTTTCGTCTTTGAAATTTAATTTAAGAGCAATTTTGTAAAATGTCAAGATGAGGAAAATTTTGGACAAACAGAACTCCGACCAAATCCTTTAAAAAATATATAATTTCATCCTATTTTTATCTGTATCGAAACAATCTCCGTGGCTCATATGGGAATGAAACACTCCTCCCGCTGTATGTTCCTCAGGAGAAAAATGGCGGAGTCCGAGAGCACTGAGGTAGGTGTGCAAGCTACGATAAATGAATGTAGGCTACACTAAATATGTGAGTGATGAATAGGCTAGTGCAATGTGCTATTCGTGTCAGGTTTGATTCTCATTTTGAGCATAGAAAACCCATCCAGAGTAGGCTGGTACCTCTGCGATATATTTTGTCGTACCCATCGGGGCCACTCTTGTGCACCAAATGCCCTTCTGTGACAATGGCACGCTCCACTCATGCCATATAATTTTAATCGAATCATAAAAGAGTGACTTAAAACGGTTGTCTGAGCATAAATTGAGTTCCGTGAACTTAATTGAGTCGTGTGACACCATGTTTAATGGTAGCCTAGCTATCCTAATGATAGCCTACTCGTGTGTCTGCCACCAACTATTTTTTTGTCTGTTGTTCCTAATCCCGAGAAATGTTGCACTCAGTCACAGGTAGAACAGGTAAAGATTCAGAGCAATGTGATTTAGGGCGCGAAGATTTGAGCTTCCTCCTTGGTCCTGCAGCTGCATTACTGGACAATGCGCCGAAATGTCGACTAAAAACGAATGTTATAACCAACATATTTTTAGTTTGTTCGATTGTTAGGTTATTGTTGGGCTAATTCGAGTGTTTTCATAGATGTTAGCAGGAATCTCAGATGACTGGCCAAAATCTCGTTCAGATGAGTGAGGTCCCTTAGTTTTATCAGTAATGTGTGTTTATCGCCAGTAGCTAGCTGAGTGTGTTTGGAAAATGCATATCTCGATATCAAATGTTGGCTAGGATATTGGTAAGTCCAGCATATCTCGATATCAAATGTTGGCTAGGATATTGGTAAGTCCATTACTCTTCTGTTGTATGCATATAAGAAGGTCTTCTATAAATTATTATTTCAGACTAGGATAATACAGGGGAAAAAACATTGTCAAACCCCTCAGTCCTGTCGATTCTTATTAGTAAGGTAGAGTGTAGTAAGCAGACCAACACCACTATCTGAGGGCAGTGGAGCCCACCTCTGCAGTAATGGAATGAGCCTAGTTGGATGTGAAGTGTTTGAGTGCTGTGGTGGCAGAAGCCCGGATCCACAGTGGTTTTCTTCACTTCTGAAAGTCATACAGACTCCCCTGCAGAGTAACCAGGGCCGGATTACAGAATGGGAACGCAGGGCACCCCCTGGAGGTCGGGGGCCCCCAGATAGCATGTGATAGCAAAATGTGTACAATTGCAGTAAATGGGCTTTAAAACTGCAACATTTTCTCTCAGCCTCATGGCAAAATGTAAACAATAGCATTTGATGAGCTATAAAACAGCACATTTTTCTCTCTGACCAATGGCAAAAAGTGTAGAATTGCAGGAAATTAGCTTTAAAACTGCAACATTTTCACTTAGCCTCATGACTTAATGTGTACAATAGCATTATAAAACTGCACTTTTTTTCCACAAAATGTGTTAGAGGTTGGTGCCCCGGGCCCCCAAATGCGGTAGACCAGCCCTGAGAGCAATGATGCCTGCATGCACAAATTGCTCTTAGTGAACCATGGTCAGTATAGGTCATTCATTTTTATGTACAGAATTCTGATTTATTTATCTACTGTGGTTGTTGTCCAGACATCAAGGACTGACGAGGACGTGACAGTTAGTGAGACATCACAATCAGGTCACTCGAGGATTAAGGGGATGTGGTTTACACTAGCCAAAATAATGCTCCTCCCAAATAACAAGACACCATGTTAAAGTCCTTGTGTCTTGAAACCTTAAAAAACATCAGATTGCACATGTTCCCCTTTTCACATAAAGATGACCCATCATTCCACTCTGAGTGTCCATGCTTAGTGGAATTACCTTTTTTCTCTGTCATTCTATGCACCCTGGAACATTCTTCTTAGAGTTGCTGTGCTCAATATCAGATGCCTAACAGATTAAGGGAAGCATCTCAGCATTTATTTCATTAGTGTCTCCAATTAACTTTCATTCAGAGAGTCTGAGGTCCATTGCAGAACAATACAACTCACTGAACTTTAGAAGATAGAAAATAGTGGAGTTTTATTCTATTCTTGTGGAAGTTCCAGAGTAAAATATTCCCTGCTGTTTTGGGATGTGCTGTCGTATTTCACATGAAGTGAATTGCACTCATTGTGTGTCATTTCCCGATGGAACATCAGTAAATAGATAATGCCAGTGGGCTGCTGTTTTCTTTAGATGTACTTGACATGACAATTGTAGCATTTTCTGCTTGAGAGTAAAAATTTGAGGAATATAAAATTATGTGGTGAAAAAGAGATTACTGTGGTACCCATATACAGTGAGGGAAAAAAGTATTTGATCCCCTGCTGATTTTGTACGTTTGCCCACTGACAAAGAAATGATCAGTCTATAATTTTAATGGTAGGTTTATCTGAACAGTGAGAGACAGAATAACAACAACAACAATCCAGAAAAACGCATGTCAAAAATGTTATAAATTGATTTGCATTTTAATGAGGGAAATAAGTATTTGACCCCTCTGCAAAACATTACGTAGTACTTGGTGGCAAAACCCTTGTTGGCAATCACAGAGGTCAGACATTTCTTGTAGTTGGCCACCTGGTTTGCACACATCTCAGGAGGAATTTTGTGATCTCCTCTTTGCAGATCTTCTACAAGTCATTAAGGTTTCGAGGCTGACGTTTGGCAACTCGAACCTTCAGCTCCCTCCACAGATTTTCTATGGGATTAAGGTCTGGAGACTGGCTAGGCCACTCCAGGACCTTAATGTGCTTCTTCTTGAGCCACTCTTTTGTTGCCTTGGCCGTGTGTTTTGGGTCATTGTCATGCTGGAATACCCATCCACAAGCCATTTTCAATGCCCTGGCTGAGGGAAGGAGGTTCTCACCCAAGATTTGACGGTACATGGCCCCGTCCATTGTCCCTTTGATGCGGTGAAGTTGTCCTGTCCCCTTAGCAGAAAAACACCCCCAAAGCATAATGTTTCCACCTCCATGTTTGACGGTGGGGATGGTGTTCTTGGGGTCATAGGCAGCATTCCTCCTCCTCCAAACACGGCGAGTTGAGTTGATGCCAAAGAGCTCCATTTTGGTCTCATCTGACCACAACACTTTCACCCAGTTCTCCTCTGAATCATTCAGATGTTCATTGGCAAACTTCAGACGGGCATGTATATGTGCTTTCTTGAGCAGGGGGACCTTGCGGGCGCTGCAGGATTTCAGTCCTTCACGGCGTAGTGTGTTACCAATTGTTTTCTTGGTGACTATGGTCCCAGCTGCCTTGAGATCGTCTACAAGATCCTCCCGTGTAGTTGTGGGCTGATTCCGCACCGTTCTCATGATCATTGCAACTGCACGAGGTGAGATCTTGCATGGAGCCCCAGGCCAAGGGAGATTGACAGGTCTTTTGTGTTTTTTCCATTTGCGAATAATCGCACCAACTGTTGTCACCTTCTCACCAAGCTGCTTGGCGATGGTCTTGTAGCCCATTCCAGCCTTGTGAAGGTCTACAATATTGTCCCTGACATCCTTGGAGAGCTCTTTGGTCTTGGCCATGGTAGAGAGTTTGGAATCTGATTGATTGATTGCTTCTGTGGACAGGTGTCTTTTATACAGGTAACAAGCTGAGATTAGGAGCACTCCCTTTAAGAGTGTGCTCCTAATCTCAGCTCGTTACCTGTATAAAAGACACCTGGGAGCCAGAAATCTTTCTGATTGAGAGGGGGTCAACTACTTATTTTCCTCATTAAAATGCAAATCAATTTATAACATTTTTGACATGTGTTTTTCTGGATTTTTTTGTTGTTATTCTGTCTCTCAGTGTTCAACTAAAACTACCATTAAAATTATAGACTGATCATTTCTTTGTCAGTGGGCAAACGTACAAAATCAGCAGGGGATCAAATACTTTTTTCCCTCACTGTATATGCCTGCTCAGTCCCCTGTTGCCAGACCATCCCCATTACGAGATAAAACAAGGAAAAAGACAAAGCTGCACAGTCAGATTGGCTGCTGAAAGCACAAGACAGAGGAGAAGCACTGACTATCTTTAACAAGACCAGATCAATATAACTGACAGCCGTGAGAGTGAAGTCTAAATCTTAAGATGTATGTGCACCTTAGAACAAATGGATTGAGTTGAATGCTCACATTAGATTTTCCCCCCTCTGTCCTCTGATAATATGTCTGGAAGGGATCATTATGGATCATATTTCTCCTGCTGAACTATGGGCTGATCAGACAGGCTTTTCTCTGTGCTCTCCCAGCAGGCATTGCAGGTGACTATCAGAGTTTTACAGGCACACCTTCTGTGTAGAATGATGTATCTTCTGCTTTCCTCAGACAGACATTTACATTTTAGTAATTTAGCAGAAGCTCTTACCCAGAGCGATTGAGAGTAGTGAGTGCATACATTTTCATACTTTTTCGTACAGACCTGTCAATACTGTTATCGTTGTCTCTAGGCAAATAGGCTCTGTGAACTCACCTCTGGGGCACCATGGGAAAGCTAATGGCAGCTGAGAGAACAGATGAGAGATGAAAATAGCAAAGAATAAAAACGTCTACAAGCTCTAAGCTTCCCGCAGATTGTGAGGTGATTGCAAACAGTGTAGTGCTTTCACAGAATCAATTCATTGGGTTTTTGAGTTTTATCATAATACAGTATGCCCTTCACCCACTGTTTCTCTATGGAAGACCTGACTTTTAGAAATCTGCCCCCGCTCCATGAAGTCTGTATCGTGTATTAACATTCTCTCCAACCCTAAGCAACAGCAGCAGCCGCAGCCAATCCGCATCATCCAGTCTCAGCGCGTGCAGCCCACATCGCTGCCCAAGCCTGTGCCCTCCATCCACCATGTCCCGCATCCGCCCCATACGCCCCATGCTGCCTCCCTGCCCAGCTGCCCTGGCCGGGGAAAGATGGCCAAGTTTCTCAACCCTGAGGAGATGACCTCCAGGGACTACTACTTTGACTCATACGCCCACTTTGGCATCCATGAGGTAGGGCTGCCCTGGGGCTGTATGTATCAAGCATCTCAAAGTAGTAGTGCTGATCTAGGATCAGCATAAGATTAGACGGGGGGGGGGGGGGGGGGGGGGGGGGGTTGCTTGATCTTAGATTAGCCTTCCTACTCTTTATTATTATTATTATTATGCCTACTTTGAGATACTATGTAAATACAGGCCCAGTTCTTACCTACTGTATCCTTACATGACTCTATGTAAAGTTAGTGCCACAATAGACTGGCCCACTTTAGAACACTTCACAGTACTGCATCTCCTCCCCAGAGATGTACTGTGTTTCAGGGGAGGAAGATGTCAGAAGGGTACAGAGCATCTTTCAAGTTAGACCTGTGAGATGGGGTTTGTTCTGTGACATTTTTGGAATGTGTACTACCGTTTAAAAGTTTGGGGTCACTTAGAAATGTCCTTGTTTTCGAAAGAAAAGCACTTTTTTGTCTATTAAAAGAACATCAAATTGATCAGAAATACAGTGTAGACATTGTTAATGTTGTAAATGGCTATTGTAGCTGGAAATGGCAGATTTTTAATGGAATATCTACAGTGAGGGAAAAAAGTATTTGATCCCCTGCAGATTTTGTACGTTTGCCCACTGACAAAGACATGATCAGTCTATAATTTTAATGGTAGGTTTATTTGAACAGTGAGAGACAGAATAACAACAAAAAAATCCAGAAAGACGCATGTCAAAAATGTTATAAATTGATTTGCATTTTAATGAGAGAAATAAGTATTTGACCCCTCTGCAAAACATGACTTAGTACTTGGTGGCAAAATCCTTGTTGGCAATCACAGAGGTCAGACGTTTCTTGTAGTTGGCCACCTGGTTTGCACACATCTCAGGAGGGATTTTGTCCCACTCCTCTTTGCAGATCTTCTCCAAGTCATTAAGGTTTCGAGGCTGACGTTTGGCAACTCGAACCTTCAGCTCCCTCCACAGATTTTCTATGGGATTAAGGTCTGGAGACTGGCTAGGCCACTCCAGGACCTTAATGTGCTTCTTCTTGAGCCACTCCTTTGTTGCCTTGGCCGTGTGTTTTGGGTCATTGTCATGCTGGAATACCCATCCACGACCCATTTTCAATGCCCTGGCTGAGGGAAGGAGGTTCTCACCCAAGATTTGACGGTACATGGCCCCGTCCATCGTCCCTTTGATGCGGTGAAGTTGTCCTATCCCCTTAGCAGAAAAACAACCCCAAAGCATAATGTTTCCACCTCCATGTTTGACGGTGGGGATGGTGTTCTTGGGGTCATAGGCAGCATTCCTCCTCCTCCAAACACGGCGAGTTGAGTTGATGCCAAAGAGCTCCCTTTTGGTCTCATCTGACCACAACACTTTCACCCAGTTCTCCTCTGAATCATTCAGATGTTCATTGGCAAACTTCAGACGGGCATGTATATGTGCTTTCTTGAGCAGGGAGACATTGCGGGCGCTGCAGGATTTCAGTCCTTCACGGCGTAGTGTGTTACCAATTTTTTTCTTGGTGACTATGGTCCCAGCTGCCTTGAGATCATTGACAAGATCCTCCCGTGTAGTTCTGGGCTGATTCCTCACCGTTCTCATGATCATTGCAACTCCACAAGGTGAGATCTTGCATGGAGCCCCAGGCCGAGGGAGATTGACAGGTCTTTTGTGTTTCTTCCATTTGCGAATAATTGCACCAACTGTTGTCACCTTCTCACCAAGCTGCTTGGCGATGGTCTTGTAGCCCATTCCAGCCTTGTGTAGGTCTACAATACTGTCCCTGATATCCTTGGAGAGCTCTTTGGTCTTGGCCATGGTGGAGAATTTGGAATCTGATTGATTGATTGCTTCTGTGGACAGGTGTCTTTTATACAGGTAACAAACTGATTAGGAGCACTCCCTTTAAGAGTGTGCTCCTAATCTCAGCTCGTTACCTGTATAAAAGAAACCTGGGAGCCAGAAATCTTTCTGATTGAGAGGGGGTCAACTACTTATTTCCCTCATTAAAATGCAAATAAATTTCTAACATTTTTGACATGCGTTTTTCTGGATTACTTTGTTATTATTCTATCTCTCACTGTTTAAATAAACCTACCATTAAAATTATAGACTGATCATTTCTTTGTCAGTGGGCAAACGTACAAAATCAGCAATGGATCAAATACTTTTTCCCCCTCACTGTACATAGGCGTACAGAGGCCCATTATCAGCAACCATCAGTCCTGTGTTCTAATGGCACGTTGTGTTTGCTAATCCAAGTTTATAATTTTAAAAGGCTAATTGATCATTAGAAAACACTTTTGCAATTATGTTAGCACAGCTGAAAACGGTTGTGCTGATTTAAAGAAGCAATACAACTGGCCTTCTTGAGACTATTTGAGTATCTGGAGCATCAGCAATTGTGGGTTCGATTACAGGCTCAAAATGGCCAGAAACAAATAACTTTCTTCTGAAACTCATCAGTCTATTCTTGTTCTGAGAAATGAAGGCTATTCCATGCGAGAAATTGCCAAGAAACTGAAGATCTCGTACAACGCTGTGTACTACTCCCTTCACAGAACAGCGCAAACTGGCCAGTCTGAGATATTGCTTTTTCTTTGCAACTCTGCCTAGAAGGTCAGCATCCCGGAGTCGCCTCTTCACTGTTGACATTGAGACTGGTGTTTTGCGGGTACTATTTAATGAAGCTGCCAGTTGAGGACCTGTGAGGCGTCTGTTTCTGATCAATTTAATGTTGTTTTAATGGACAAAAAAATTGCTTTTCTTTCGAAAACAAGGACATTTCTAAGTAACCCCAAACTTTTGAACGGTAGTGTAAGTCAGATGGGTTTTTATAATTTCTGCTCTGTGAATATTCCTGACAGACAGTGTGAGAGAATGGCTGAAATTACTTAAGAGGGATATGCAGTAATGCAATGTTTTTCAATGTGGACCAGTGTGTCTGAAATGGAAGGGTAGGATTACAGTGACTGCAGATTAATATCTACATAGCCTGTGCCATTATGATTTTTATCCATACTACACTAAATCTATTTTCACATTGTGACCTACTTGTTGTGTTTATGTACTGACATGTATGTGTAACTGATAGAGGCACACACACACTACATGTTAATGTTTTTAAATGTATGTAAATTGTAAAGTCTTGTCTGTAATGTTTTTTTCGTTATATGTCGGACCCCAGTAAGACTAGCTGTCGCCATTGGAGTCGGCTAATGGGGATCCTAATAAATAAAACAAATCTAATTGTCATGGAAATTAATACAGCTTTGATAAAAATAGAAAAAAGCACCTTGTTATTCACCTTATACACAGTTGAAAGAGGTTTGGATATCTCCCACCCTGACACCAATCATTTTTCACTGAGCAGGAGATGCTGAAGGATGAAGTGAGGACGCTGACCTACAGGAACTCCATGTACCACAACAAGCACGCCTTTAAGGACAAGATCGTCCTTGACGTGGGCAGTGGGACTGGTATCCTGTCCATGTTTGCAGCCAAGGCGGGAGCCAAGCATGTGTACGGGGTAAGAAAAGCTTTCTCCCTTTTATTAATTTATTTCACCTTTATTTAACCAGGTAAGCCAGTTGAGAGCAAGTTCTCATTTACAACTGCGACCTGGCCAAGATAAAGCAAAGCAGTGCGATTAAAAACAACAACAACTCAGAGTTACACATGGGATAAACAAAACATACAGTCACTCCATGCTCCCTGTCTGATCTCAAACTAGTATTATCAGGTAGAACCATCGTGACGGACAGCATCAGGAAATGCTGTGAAACCTAGCCTGACAATCTGCTCGCTCTCCCCAGACTGTCTTTCTGTGTGTGTGTGTGAGTACATTGGTCTACGACTTCAAACCAGGGCCAAAAATATTGTCATTGGATTGCTACAGGGCTTTGTGTCAGTCTGTGTGACTGTGTAACTTTGTGTGTGTGTGTGTGTGTGTGTGTGTGTGAGAATCTGGTCAACTGTTCTGTCAATTCCGAGGCTGTGCAACACTAACTTCTTACTGCCTGCAAGTTGCAACTATATCTTTCCATCCGTCATTCTATTTTCCTTTTATATTGGTTTTGATTTCCCACCTATAGTCTACTGCAACCTATATGCAGTTTCCCACCTATAGTCTACTGCAACCTATATGCAGTTTCCCACCTATAGTCTACTGCAAACTATATGCAGTTTCCCACCTATAGTCTACTGCAAACTATATGCAGTTTCCCACCTATAGTGTACTGCAAACTATATCCAGTTTCCTACCCATAGTCTACTGCAACCTATATCCAGTTTCCCATCTTTGGTTTTATTATGCTCTCACTGTGAGCTCTGGGGCCATGCGGTTATCAGATCCATCACTTAGACTCCACCGGAGAGACAAACCCCAGAGAACAGATCTGGGCTCGAGGCCAACTCTGAACTCTCCCATATAGAACATCACCCTGTCAGAGAGATGTAGTCACACACAGAGAAAAGGAAAATCCTAATATTATTACAAAATACAGATCAAAGACCTTTCATACAGAACATCAAACCTGACATCCCAGTATCAAAATGGAGGATCATTCCTAAGCAGTGGTAGACTCTTGGACTCTCTAAATCAAATGATTGGAGTAAAATCCTGTATCACTATTGCTGAACTGACAGTCATCATAAGCCACAGCCTATGAGTTTTACACCCAACTACAGCAGTGATGACATCCATGCTGCTCTAAGTCCTTCACACTGAATAGTTTAACAGTCCTTATGCAGATGTTTGCCTGCCTTTAAGCCAACCTGGTGGAAGTTATTCCTAAGAGGTACACTACCGGTCATACGTTTTAGAACACCTACTCATTCAAGGGTTTTTCTTTATTTTTACTATTTTCTACATTGTAGAAGAATTGTGAAGACATCAAAACTATGAAATAACACATGGAATCATGTAGGAACCACAAAAGTGTTAAACAAATCAAAATATATTTTATATTTGAGATTCTTCAAATAGCCACCCTTTGCCTTGATGACCGCTTCGCACATTCTTGGCATTCTCTCAACCAGCTTCATGAGATAGTCACCTGGAATGCATTTCAATTTACAGGTGTGCCTTAAGTTAATTTGTGGAATTTATTTCCTTCTTAATGCGTTCGAGCTAATCAGTTGTGTTGTGACAAGGTAGGTGGGACATACAGAAGATAGCCCTATTTGCTAAAATACCAAGTCCATATTATGGTAAGAACAGCTCAAATAAGCAAAGAGAAATGACAGTCCATCATTACTTTAGGACATGAAGGTCAGTCAATCTGGTAAATTTCAATAACTTTTGAAAGTTTCTTCAAGTGTAGTTGCAAAACCCATTTAAGCGCTATGATGAAATTGGCTCTCATAAGGACCGCCACAGGAATGGAAGAACCAGAGTTACCTCTGCTGCAGAGGATAAGTTAGAGTTACCAGCCTCAGAAATTGCAGCCCAAATAAATGCTTCAATGAGTTCAAGTAACAGACACATCTCAACATCAACTGTTCAGAGGAGACTGTGTGACTCAGGCCTTCATGGTCGAATTGCTGCGAAGAAACTCCTAATAAAGGACACCAATAAGAAGAAGAGACTTGCTTGGGCCAAGAAACACGAGCAATGGACATTAGACTGGTGGAAATGTGTATTTTGGTCTGGAGTCCAAATTGGAGATTGTTGGTTCCAACCGCCGTGTCTTTGTGAGACGCTGTGTGGGTGAACGGATGATCTCCGCATGTGTATTTACCACCGTAAAGCATGGGGGAGAAGGTGTTATGGTGTGGGGGTGCTTTGCTGGTGACACTGTCTGTGATTTTATTTAGAATTCAAGGCACACTTAACTAGTATGGCTACCACAGCATTCTGCAGCGATACGCCATCCCATCTGGTTTGGGTTTAGTGGGACAATCATTTGTTTTTCAACAGGACAATGACCCAAGTTTCTCTTTGCTTATTTGAGCTGTTCTTGCCATAATATGGACTTGGTCTTTTAGCAAATAGGGCTATCTTCTGTATACCACCCCTACCTTGTCACAACACAACTGATTGGCTCAAACGCATTAAGAAGGAAAGAAATTCCACAGATTAACTTTTAACAAGGCACACCTGTTCATTGAAATGCATTCCAGGTGACTACCTCATGAAGCTGGTTGAGAGAATGCCAAGAGTGTGCAAAGCTGTCATCAAGGCAAAGGGTGGCTACTTTGAAGAATCTCAAATATAAAATATATTTTGATTTAACAAACACCTTTTATGGTTACTACATGATTCCATATGTGTTATTTCATAGTTTGATGTCTTCACTATTATTCTATAATGTAGAAAATAGTGAAAATAAAGAAAAACCCTTGAATTAGTAGGTGTGTCCAAACTTTTGACTGGTACTGTAGATCTCTGTGGTTGAGAGTGCCCACTCAGGCATGGCACTGAAGGTAGATATATGTCCCCGTCTTGGGCAAGTGGAGAAATCAGTGCCAATTAGTGTAGCCTGATAAACAGCGCACACACATACACTACACATTATCAATGGCATACTCTCCTCCACATGCCTTTAAACAGCAGGTAAGGCCTCGGGGAACAGATGTGGTGGCAGGCTGGCAGCTGACAGATGACCGTGGGCACTGCCACTGCCACTAATGGGCTGTAGAGGGCCAGGCGTTTCCCAGGTGGCAGCCCCAGAACAGCGAGGCACGGAGCGGGCAGGCCACAGGCCACAGCTGGGTCTCTCTACCCTGGCTTTACGAAGGGCCCAAGCATTAGCCAGCTTTGCCCTGTTGCCCTGTCCTCTCTGTTTTCGAGAGACTCCTGATTAAGAACAGATGGGTGGTGTAGAGCATGAATCCCCTCGTACACCTCAGACATACACACCCATAGTAGGCTGTGGAGCGTACATGGGGGGAAAATCGATACCTGCAGAATCCTGACACTTTTAAAGTTAAATATTGATCAGTATGACTGTGTCCCGGGGCCTGCTTTATTCATGTGAAGGCTTTCAATGGAAGTCTCCACAGTTGATGGATGAGTGCTTTCATTGTATGAAAACATGTATAAGGAGCTGTTGGGCTCTCCTGGTGGGGTTCCAGACTATGGGCCTCGGGCTCCCTACAGTGTGGCCATTGTGAAAGCCAGACAGGGAGGCAGAGTACCACTGACAGGGGGAGAGATGCTTTTTTATACAGGCAGAGAGCAAGCTGTGAAAATGTTACATTTTACTGAGACGCCTAACTTGCTGTGTGTGTGTGTGAAAGGGAGAGAGAGATAGAACAGAGAGATAGAGAAGGCAAGTGGGCGAGAGGTTCTTCAGGACCTTCTTCCATTGGGATGACTGCGGGCAGGTGACTTGTGAGTAAAAGTTTACTCTGCACATTACCTGAAGAAAACAGCTCTGACAGCTGAGCACAGGAAAGGACAGACTGTTCTATTATTTGTTTCTACAACTCTACTGAAGAACAATTCAAATCAAATTGTATTTGTCATGCTTCGTAAACAACAGGTGTAGACTACCAGTGAAATGCTTACTTACGGTTCCTTTTCCAACAATGCAGTTAAAGATACAAAATTAAATAGAAATAGTGACATGAGGAATAAATACGCAGTGAATAACGAATAATAATAAAGAGTAAAAATAACATGGCTATATACAGGAAGTACCAAAACTGTCTGTGCAGTGGTACGAGGTAATTGAGGTAGCGATGTATAATAGACAAAACTATAAACGCAACATGCAACAATTTCAACAATTTTACTGAGTTACGGTTCATATAAGGAAATTAATTTAGCCCTAATCTATGGATTTCACATGACTGGGAATACAGATATGCATCTGTTGGTCACAGATACAGTGCATTCGGAAAGTATTCAGACCCCTTGACTTTTTCCACATTTTATTACGTTACAGCCTTATTCTAAAATGGATTAAATCGTTTTTTCCCCCTCATCAATCTACACACAATACCCCATAATGACAAAGCAAAAACAAGTTTTAAGAAATGTAAATAAATTAAAAAAAAATCTCAAATTTCATGCTTTCGCCACAACATTATTTGGGTACGAGTTAACAGTATTAACTTTTATAAGTGAGATTTTCATTGGACAGTTACTTTAATGAATAATTCCTGCAGGTAAGATCAAGAAGTGGACATAATTAATATTTAAAAAATGGAAATATGACATTTACATAAGTATTCAGACCCTTTACTCAGTACTTTGTTGAAGCACCTTTGGCAGCGATTACAGCCTCGAGTCTTCTTGGGTATGACACTACATGCTTGGCACACCTGTATTTGGGGAGTTTCTCCCATTCTTCTCTGCAGATCCTCTCAAGCTCTGTCAGGTTGAATGGGGAGCGTCGCTGCACAGCTATTTTCAGGTCTCTCCAGAGATGTTCGATCGGGTTCAAGTATGGGCTCTGGCTGGGCCACTCAAGGACATTCAGAGACTCCTGCATTGTCTTGGCTGTGTGCTTAAGGTCGTTGTCCTGTTGGAAGGTGAACCTT